ATTTACTACCACCACCACCATCACCGGTACATTTACTACCACCACCACCATCACCGGTACATTTACTACCACCACCACCATCACCGGTACATTTACTACCACCACCACCATCACCGGTACATTTACTACCACCACCACCATCACCGGTACATTTACTACCACCACCACCATCACCGGTACATTTACTACCACCACCACCATCACCGGTACATTTACTACCACCACCACCATCACCGGTACATTTACTACCACCACCACCATCACCGGTACATTTACTACCACCACCACCATCACCGGTACATTTACTACCACCACCACCATCACCGGTACATTTACTACCACCACCACCATCACCGATACATTTACTACCACCACCACCATCACCGGTCCATTTACTACCACCACCACCATCACCGGTACATTTACTACCACCACCACCATCACCGGTACATTTACTACCACCACCACCATCACCGGTACATTTACTACCACCACCACCATCACCGGTACATTTACTACCACCACCACCATCACCGGTACATTTACTACCACCACCACCATCACCGGTACATTTACTACCACCACCACCATCACCGGTACATTTACTACCACCACCACCATCACCGGTACATTTACTACCACCACCACCATCACCGGTACATTTACTACCACCACCACCATCACCGGTACATTTACTACCACCACCACCATCACCGGTACATTTACTACCACCACCACCATCACCGGTACATTTACTACCACCACCACCATCACCGGTACATTTACTACCACCACCACCATCACCGGTACATTTACTACCACCACCACCATCACCGGTACATTTACTACCACCACCACCATCACCGATACATTTACTACCACCACCACCATCACCGGTCCATTTACTACCACCACCACCATCACCGGTACATTTACTACCACCACCACCATCACCGGTACATTTACTACCACCACCACCATCACCGGTACATTTACTACCACCACCACCATCACCGGTACATTTACTACCACCACCACCATCACCGGTACATTTACTACCACCACCACCATCACCGGTACATTTACTACCACCACCACCATCACCGGTACATTTACTACCACCACCACCATCACCGGTACATTTACTACCACCACCACCATCACCGGTACATTTACTACCACCACCACCATCACCGGTACATTTACTACCACCACCACCATCACCGATACATTTACTACCACCACCACCATCACCGGTCCATTTACTACCACCACCACCATCACCGGTACATTTACTACCACCACCACCATCACCGGTACATTTACTACCACCACCACCATCACCGGTACATTTACTACCACCACCACCATCACCGGTACATTTACTACCACCACCACCATCACCGGTACATTTACTACCACCACCACCATCACCGGTACATTTACTACCACCACCACCATCACCGGTACATTTACTACCACCACCACCATCACCGGTACATTTACTACCACCACCACCATCACCGGTACATTTACTACCACCACCACCATCACTGGTACATTTACTACCACCACCACCATCACCGATACATTTACTACCACCACCACCATCACCGGTACATTTACTACCACCACCACCATCACCGGTACATTTACTACCACCACCACCATCATCGATACATTTACTACCACCACCACCATCACCGGTCCATTTACTACCACCACCACCATCACCGATACATTTGTGTAATACTTTTGATACCCTCACCGATACTTCCATCACCACCACCATCATCACTAGATACTACCACCACCACCACCATCATCACTGATACTACCATAACCACCACCATCATCACTAGATACTACCATTACCACCGCCATCAACACTGATACTACCATAACCACCGCCATCATCACTATATACTACCATTACCATTACCATCATCACTGATACTACCATTACCACCGCCATCATCACTGATACTATCATTACCACCGCCATCATCACTGATACAATTTACTACCATAACCACCGCCATCATCACTAGATACTACCATTACCACCGCCATCATCACTGATACTACCACCACCACCGCCATCAACACTGATACTACCACCACCACCGCCATCATCACTGATACTACCATCACCACCGCCATCATCACTAGATACTACCATCACAATGATAATACTGACAGTACAACCTAGTGTATAATAATACTGACAGTACAACCTAGGGTATAATAGTACTGACAGTACAACCTAGTGTGTCATAATACTGACAGTACAACCTAGGGTATAATAATCCTGACAGTACAACCTAGTGTATAATAATACTGACGTTACAACCTAGTGTATAATAATACTGACAGTACAACCTAGGGTATAATAGTACTGACAGTATAACCTAGTGTGTAATAATACTGACAGTACAACCTAGGGTATAATAATCCTGACAGTACAACCTAGTGTATAATAATACTGACATTGCAACCTAGTGTATAATAATACTGACAGTACAACCTAGGGTATAATAGTACTGACAGTACAACCTAGTGTATAATAATACTGACAGTACAACCTAGTGTATAATAATACTGACAGTACAACCTAGTGTATAATAATACTGACAGTACAACCTAGTGTATAATAATACTGACAGTACAACCTAGTGTATAATAATACTGACAGTACAACCTAGTGTATAATAATACTGACAGTACAACCTAGTGTATAATAATACTGACAGTACAACCTAGTGTATAATAATACTGACAGTACAACCTAGTGTATAATAATACTGACAGTACAACCTAGTGTATAATAATACTGACAGTACAACCTAGTGTATAATAATACTGACAGTACAACCTAGTGTATAATAATACTGACAGTACAACCTAGTGTATAATAATACTGACAGTACAACCTAGTGTATAATAATACTGACAGTACAACCTAGTGTATAATAATACTGACAGTACAACCTAGTGTATAATAATACTGACAGTACAACCTAGTGTATAATAATACTGACAGTACAACCTAGTGTATAATAATACTGACAGTACAACCTAGTGTATAATAATACTGACAGTACAACCTAGTGTATAATAATACTGACAGTACAACCTAGTGTATAATAATACTGACAGTACAACCTAGTGTATAATAATACTGACAGTACAACCTAGTGTATAATAATACTGACAGTACAACCTAGTGTATAATAATACTGACAGTACAACCTAGTGTATAATAATACTGACAGTACAACCTAGTGTATAATAATACTGACAGTACAACCTAGTGTATAATAATACTGACAGTACAACCTAGTGTATAATAATACTGACAGTACAACCTAGTGTATAATAATACTGACAGTACAACCTAGTGTATAATAATACTGACAGTACAACCTAGTGTATAATAATACTGACAGTACAACCTAGTGTATAATAATACTGACAGTACAACCTAGTGTATAATAATACTGACAGTACAACCTAGTGTATAATAATACTGACAGTACAACCTAGTGTATAATAATACTGACAGTACAACCTAGTGTATAATAATACTGACAGTACAACCTAGTGTATAATAATACTGACAGTACAACCTAGTGTATAATAATACTGACAGTACAACCTAGTGTATAATAATACTGACAGTACAACCTAGTGTATAATAATACTGACAGTACAACCTAGTGTATAATAATACTGACAGTACAACCTAGTGTATAATAATACTGACAGTACAACCTAGTGTATAATAATACTGACAGTACAACCTAGTGTATAATAATACTGACAGTACAACCTAGTGTATAATAATACTGACAGTACAACCTAGTGTATAATAATACTGACAGTACAACCTAGTGTATAATAATACTGACAGTACAACCTAGTGTATAATAATACTGACAGTACAACCTAGTGTATAATAATACTGACAGTACAACCTAGTGTATAATAATACTGACAGTACAACCTAGTGTATAATAATACTGACAGTACAACCTAGTGTATAATAATACTGACAGTACAACCTAGTGTATAATAATACTGACAGTACAACCTAGTGTATAATAATACTGACAGTACAACCTAGTGTATAATAATACTGACAGTACAACCTAGTGTATAAATATACTGACAGTGCAACCTAGTGTATAAATATACTGACAGTATAACCTAGTGTATAATAATACTGACAGTACAACCCAGTGTATAAATATACTGACAGTACAACCTAGTGTATAAATATACTGACAGTACAACCTAGTGAATAATAATACTGACATTACAACCTAGTGTATAAATATACCGACAGTACAACCTAGTGTATAATAATACTAACAGTTCAACCTAGTGTAAAATAGTACTGACATTACAACCTAGTGTAAACTAATACGTACAGTACACAGAGGTACATAATACAGAGATTTAAGAAACAGTAGATGTATTCAAACAGTAAAGTACACTGAGTGTAGGTTATGTGTGTATATACATGTTAAATTGGCATAAACTTCCTCATGATACCAGTCAATGCAAACCAAAGTCTTTCGTTATATCATATAGTCTAACTATAACGTAAACTCCTCCTGTGGAAATTGAATCTAATCTTGTAACCAAACTTACACTATATATATAAGCACAATAAATAGCTGAAGTACCAAGGAAAACTGTCGCTCGACTTCGGTATTCACTGTAAATACAGACCTTGCCAACCTATTCTTCGATTTAATCGAACAGAATGCACAAAGCATGCTACAACTGACATATTTCCATGTTAGTGAAATAAATCATGAATGCTTTGTGTATGATGCAATTGTGTTCTGATAAAAGACGACATATTTCCGGCACTTCGTGGTGGTTATTTTTATAGCAGCCGTTTCCAATAAAAACTTTCCTGATATCGTATTGAAACAATTAGGGATAGTACGAATATATATAGTAGTTCTATACTTACAGTATATACTCACTATAGCAACATCTTTTAAGTCCGAGCACGGTATTTTTATCCACAAACTTCTTGGAAAAACATCCGGGTTGCCTGCTCACCAGTTGTCGTTTGCACGTGCATTAGTTCCAAGCTCTGTCCATGTCATCAGTCCTTGTTTGCGTATCTCTCCACGGATACCGTCCCAGGAATTAAGTCTCTAGAAATACGGTGACCCGGTGCTGCCCGAAAGAAACTCGGATAATGTCGTTGATAGAGGAAAACTATTTTGTTCGGTATATGACCTATGGAATCCGCCCGCAGCGATAATCCCACCTCATTACGAGCGCATCCTATTACCAGACTCTCATTAGCACCGACTATGTACGAGTTAAATAATAATGTGATTGGGACTTCCTGAAAGTGCTCTCTGTTTTGACGGGAGAGATGTTTGTCTTTTTGTCAAGCATAAGTCCATTAGTGAGAGATAGTATTAAAGCAGTGTATCAGTGATCACTTTATTGGCGAAAATTGAGTCATTTCAAAATCCACAAAAAAATATCGGTATAGATTCTTTTTACTTCGCAACAAAAACATTTGTCAGTAACAATGATTAGCTTGGAAGCCCTTATGTAGGTACCATCTTCACCAGGCTACCAGTTCGATCGAGGTGTATTGTAGTTAACGGACTTGGTATCGCAACACTGTTGATCCGGCTCATGGCTCATTCTATTTAACGGACTCGGCCATGTAATACACACCTGATCCGGTCACAGAACGCACTGCCAGTCAATCGTTGCCCGTCCAATAACGCTAACAGGCTTCCAGCGACGGTATAATACCAGGAGCATGTAACCGATAATTCAATCCATCTCCCGAGTCCGGTCGATATGACATATAGCTAGTGATCACACCGCTTCCGCAATTTGATCGAAACAATTATTTTCTAGGAAAATTGATAAAGTAAAACCGAAATGGTCACAAGACTGGAGGTATATATATTTAAACATATATAAGTGTGATATGTTTACGACGCCGTTAGAAATCTGTGTCGTATTAGGTGTCCTATTCAGGTCAAGGTCACTGCCTTAAGACGTCCTGAGGTTGGTTTATCATGCAGATTATAGATACTACATTAGTTTGTCTTCTGCTCAATATGCTAATTGTATTGATCGTCTAGAAATTAAGCAAAAAATGTCAGCGTAGAAAATAAGAATTGTATAGAATGGTTAACATTTTGATGCTCATGTGTCTATCATATAGATGACCTACTATTTAACGCTAAAGTTTTTTTTTGTCGAAACTTATTTTGATGCTTCAGGATTCAGATGACTACTCATTAAAAGAAGATATAATCGCGAATCATTTATTTAAATGAAAATTGCGAAAATAGGCATACCACTGAACACAGTAACATCTGATGTAAATCTCGTGCTAAACTGCCACTGGTCCTCCCACAGTCTTCGACTTAAAGGTCATGCTGTCCTTTGATTTTATATGTTTTAATTACGCTTAACTTGTACATCATATTCTAATGACAGTTCGAATCTTGCTTGGCTATGTCAAGTGCACATCGGATATAACATACAACTAGGGAGAATAATTGACAGCACCTAAACGGTATTGAAAATCCGGATAAGTTGTGTAAATCTATTACAGAGACGCCCTGGTCAGAAGTTAGCTGGTACGTGTCAGTGACGTGTGTTGTCAAGGCATACATATTCGAGGGACGTTATCCAAAAACTCCCTTTTGAAATAGTACTCTAGTGGACTTTTTACGTGAGGTTTGAATTGACATATTATTGGCAGGAACACAGATAAAGGTGTAATTGAATGAGTGATTGACAGAGCATTTTGAATTATCCGAATTGAGGAGTAGGCTATGGACATTATCTAATACACGCCGACGTAATTATAGAGCTGTGTCATATACTATGTACAGTGTACGCGTACGCCAGATGCACATAACGTTCCAGCTTCGGGTCACGTCGTGAGCAAGTCACATATAGTAATGAAAACGTATTAGGCGGTATAGCATCTGCATGTGTATAAAATATATTGGCAGGGGGAAGGAGTGTCTTCGTAATCTACTATATATACGTAGCCGAAAGTCGATTTTTTAGAAAACAAAAAATATGCCGACGACACCACATTATCTGACAAAACATTAAAATGGAAATAATGTACGACTTAATATGTTTGAAATTTCGTGTAATATGCATATCTGTTGAATTGTTTAGAATGTTATTTCTTTTGTTGAAATCACAAAACAAAAAAAGTTAATTTGGGTAGACAGGCTAGGGACTCGTGTAGTTAGGTGCACGTAGGAGACTACAGATTTGTGTCGATAGGTAGGTTAGTGACTAGTGAGGGTAGGTAGGCTATGGACTCGTGAGGGTAGGTAGGCTATGGACTCGTAAGGGTATAGGTAGACTAAGGACTCGTGGGGATTGATAGGTAAGGGATTTGTGAAGGTAGGTAGGCTATTGACTCGTGAGGGTAGGTGTAGACTAAGGACTCGTGAGGACAGGTAGGTAAGGGATACGTGAGGGTAGGTAGGCTATGGACTCGTAAGGGTATAGGTAGACTAAGGACTCACGAGGTAGGTAAGCTATGGACTCGTGAGGGTAGGTGTAGACTAAGGACTCGTGGGGATTGATAGGTAAGGGATGTGTGAAGGTAGGTAGGCTATGTACTCGTAAGGGTATAGGTGGACTAAGGACTCGTGGAGATTAATAGGTAAGGGATTTGTGAAGGTAGGTAGGCTATGTACTCGTAAGGGTATAGGTAGACTAAGGACTCACGAGGTAGGTAAGCTATGGACTCGTGAGGGTAGGTGTGGACTAAGGACTCGTGGGGATTGATAGGTAAGGGATGGGTGAAGGTAGGTAGGCTATGTACTCGTAAGGGTATAGGTAGACTAAGGACTCACGAGGTAGGTAAGCTATGGACTCGTGGGGGTAGGTGTAGACTAAGGACTCGTGGGGATTGATAGGTAAGGGATGGGTGAGGATAGGTAAGCTATGTACTCGTGAGGGTATAGGTAGACTAAGGACTCGTTGGGGATTGATAGGTAAGGGATGTGTGAAGGTAGGTAGGCTATGTACTCGTAAGGGTATAGGTAGACTAAGGACTCGTGAGGACAGGTAGGGAAGGGATACGTGAGGGTAGGAAGGCTATGGACTCGTAAGGGCATAGGTAGACTAATGAATCGAAGGGTAGGTAAGCTATGGACTTGTGAAGCTAGGTGTAGACTAAGGACTCGTGAGAACAGGTAGGTAAGGGATACGTGAGGGTAGGAAGGCTATGGACTCGTAAGGGCATAGGTAGACTAATGAATCGAAGGGTAGGGAAGCTGTGGACTCGTGAAGCTAGGTGTAGACTAAGGACTCGTGGGGATTGATAGGTAAGGGATGGGTTAGGATAGGTAAGCTATGTACTCGTGAGGGTATAGGTAGACTAAGGACTCGTGGGGATTGATAGGTAAGGGATTTGTGAAGGTAGGTAGGCTATGGACTCGTGAGGGTATAGGTAGACTAAGGACTCGTGAGAACAGGTAGGTAAGGGATACGTGAGGGTAGGTAGGCTATGGACTCGTTAGGGTATAGGTATACTAAGGACTCGTTGGGATTGGTAGGTAAGGGATTTGTGAAGGTAGGTAGGCTATGGACTCGTGAATGTAGGTAGGCTATGTACTCGTGAAGGTAGGTAGGCTATGGACTCGTGATGGTAGGTAGGCTATGTACTCGTGAGGGTAGGTAGGCTATGGACTCGTGAGGGTAGGTAGGCTATGCACTCGTGAGGGTAGGTAGGCTATGGACTCGTGAAGGTAGGCAAGCTATGGACTAGTGAGGGTAGGTGTAGACTAAGAACTCTTGAGGATAGGTAAGTAAGGGATTTATGAGGGAAGGAAGGCTAATGCTTCGTGAGGGTATAGGTAGACAAGAACTCTTGAGGAAAGGTAGGTGAGGGATTTTTGAGGGAAGGAAGGCAAATGCCTCGTGAGGGTACATGTAGGTAGGCTATAGGTAATCGTGAGGATATATGTAGGTAGGCTATAGGTAATCGTGAGGGTACATGTAGGTAGGCAATAGGTAATCGTGAGGGTACATGTAGGTAGACTTAAGGTAATCGTGAGGGTACATGTAGGTAGACTATAGGTAATCGTGAGGGTACATGTAGGCAGACTATAGGTAATCGTGAGACATGTAGGTAGACTATAGGTAATCGTGAGGGTACATGGAGGTAGGCTAAAGTTAATCGTGAGGGTACATGTAGGTAGGCTATAGGTAATCGTGAGGATATATGTAGGTAGGCTATAGGTAATCGTGAGGTTACATGTAGGTGGAATATAGGTAATCGTGAAGGTACATGTAGGTAGAATATAGGTAATCGTGAGGGTACATGTAGGTAGGCTATAGGTAATCAAGAGGGTACATGTAGGTAGGCTATAGGTAATCGTGAGGTTACATGTAGGTAGGCTATATGTAATCATGAGGGTACATATAGGTAGGCTATATGTAATCGTGATGGTACATGTAGGTAGACTATAGGTAATCGTGAGGGTACATGTAGGTAGGCTAAAGTTAATCGTGAGGGTACATGTAGGTAGGCTATAGGTAATCGTGAGGGTACATGTAGGTAAACTATAGGTAATCGTGATGGTACATGTAGGTAGACTATAGGTAATCGTGAGGTTACATGTAGGTAGACTATAGGTAATCGGGAGGGTACATGTAAGTAGAATATAGGTAATCGTGAGGTTACATGTAGGTAGATTATACGTCATCTTGAGGGTACATGTAGGTAGATTATACGTCATCTTGAGGGTACATGTAGGTAGATTATACGGCATCTTGAGGGTACATGTAGGTAGATTAAAGGTTATCGCGAGGGTACATGTAGGTAGACAATGGGTACATGTAGGTAAACTATAGGCAATCGTGATGGTACATGTAGGTAGCCTATAGCTCATCGTGAGGGTACATGTAGGTAGATTAAAGGTTATCGCGAGGGTACATGTAGGTAGACTAAAGTTAATCGTGAGGGTACATGGAGGTAGGCTATAGGTAATCGTGAGGTTACATGTAGGTAGGCTATATGTAATCGTGATGGTACATGTCGGTAGACTATAGGTAATCGTGAGGTTACATGTAGGTAGATTATACGTCATCTTGAGGGTACATGTAGGTAGATTATACGTCATCTTGAGGGAACATGTAGGTAGAATATAGGTAATCGTGAGGGTACATGTAGGTAGATTAAAGGTTATCGTGAGGGTACATGTAGGTAGACTAAAGGTAATCGTGAGGGTACATGTAGGTAGGCTATAGGTAATCGTGAGGGTACATGTAGTTAGGCTTTAGGTAATCGTGAGTGTACATGTAGGTAGGCTATAGGTAATCGTGAGGGTACATGTAGGTAGATTAAAGGTAATCGTGAGGGTACATGTAGGTAGATTAAAGGTTATCGTGAGGGTTCATGTAGGTAGACTAAAGGTAATCGTGAGGGTATATGTAGGTAGAATATAAGTAATCGTGAGGGTACATGTAGGTAGATTTAAGGTAATCGTGAGGGTACATGTAGGTAGACCAAAGGTAATCGTGAGGGTATATGTAGGTAGAATATAGGTAATCGTGAGGGTACATGTAGGTAGATTTAAGGTAATCGTGAGGGTACATGTAGGTAGATTAAAGGTAATCGTGAGGGTACATGTAGGTAGACTAAAGGTAATCGTGAGGGTACATGTAGGTAGGCTATAGGTAATCGTGAGGGTACATGTTGT